TTCTTTGAGAACATTGACTAAGAGATCTAACGCAATAGTTAAAGCAAGTTTTATCATTTTACTAATGTGGTAAATACTTGTATTTTCACTCATACCCATGAGGGACTTGTGTGCAATCAATGGTATTTTGCTTTCTTTCTTGTAAATTTCTTTACTTAATTTTTTTATTTAGACGTCATGTTTTCAACTGGGCTCATTGGGCCGTCGGCAACTCTGCGTTCATACTCGCTAGTAAGTGACCACACCAATTGTTGCTTCATTTACCAATTGTTTGTATTTGGAAGGATTTTACTTTTGTTAATTTTTCAATTATGTTGTCTTAATTTTGCACATGATACCTTATGTGCATCTGCAGTCAACATTTTATTTTAAGTTCATTTATTCTCAATTCTCCAAAATGTGTTAAATAATATATTTTTTTTAAATACATATTTTTGTTATTGTATAGTCGCATGTATTTTTATTGGAATGGATCTGTCTGCATTGGACCTTCCGCAGTATACAACCTGGGTCTTTGTAGGCTGGGTTTGCTTTCATGTTCTCATAGAACTTTTTCTGGAAGTCACTAAATGTGTTGCAAAAAATGATGGTGAGTTTTTGCATTATTAGCATTTTTATCAAATTTAACACTAAGATTTTTGTGAGTTAGAGTGCAGTCCAAAAAACAAGGACTCATGGATGCGTGCATGTGTGTGTGTCTGTGTGTCTGTGTGTGTGTCTGTGTGTGTGTCTGTGTGTGTGTCTGTGTGTGTGTCTGTGTGTGTGTGTGTGTGTGTCTGTGTGTGTGTGTCTGTGTGTGTGTCTGTGTGCGTGCATGTGTGTGTGTCTGTGTGTGTGTCTGTGTGTGTGTCTGTGTGTGTGTCTGTGTGTGTGTCTGTGTGTGTGTCTGTGTGTGTGTCTGTGTGTGTGTCTGTGTGTGTGTCTGGACCTATATTTTAGACATGCCTTTACCAATTACATTCAAACTTCACATATATTATACAAAATATTATACATATGCACATCAATTTGTATGTTGTGTGTGTAATAAGGTTCTCCATCCTATCAGTGAACAGTGGTCTGTTTTAGTATATTTAGCGTCTCCATCCTCACCCAGAATAGTAGTCAGTTGTGAGTATAA